GGGATAGATGTGTTTGGGGTTAAGAATTTTTGAAGCTTGAGGAAGAGGACAGAGTGCATACACTGTGTGATACAGGACACTCTGATGGGGTCTGGGCTGCCCCCCTGTAATCTGAAGTAAAAGCATGGAGATTTCTGCAGCCAAATGTACAAGGACTCACTGCAGGGACTGAGGTCTTAATGCCAAATGAATTTTTGGGACCAACGTTTGGAAAAAAAATTTAGAATTTCAGAGCTCTTTAAACTGTGTGTGTGTGTGTGTGTGTGTGTGTGTGTGTGTGTGTGTGTGGATAAGGGATTATGGACCTGCATCTATTACCCAAGCTTAGCATGGAATAATCTCTCAATAAATGATACTGCTGGCTGTGACGTGATGCGTGGTCATGTTAGAAGGCTACTCCAGTCATTATTTGAAATAAACACTTATGCATTTTAAAGGAAAAATGTCTTCATATTGGTCTTCATGTTGCCTGTTGTTGAGACATAGGTTTATGAGAATCAGTTTCTTCTGGTGAGGGTGTAGTATTTATTCACAAATTGTTAAAAAAAAAAAAAGCAGTCATTATTAGAAATAGCAATCCATGGGACATCTGGATGGCTCTGTCAGTTGAGCGTCTGAATCTTGATTTTGACTCAGGTCATGATCTCAGGGTCGTGGGATCAAGTCCCGCATCGGGCTCCGCACTAAGCATGGAACCCACTTGGGATTCTCTCTCCCTCTCTCTGTGCCCCTCCTCCCCTCGCACTTGCACGCTCACTCTCTCTGTTTCTAATAGTAATAATAAAAAAAAATAGTAAACCGTGAAACTGCGAATATTAGGTAGTGGGGGCTCGTCACAGAAAATCACATGTTGTACAAAATGGCCAGAACTCTGCCATGTGAGTTGGGGGATAGGTGCCAGTGGCCAGTTCCCATGACCTTTGACTGAGGGTTGGCACTGTTTGTTGTCCATTATAACACTATCATTTCATCAGAGGTCATTTGTCCAGGAGCCTCCCCACTGCCATTCACCAACAAAAACAGTTCTTTCTTTCCAGACCTCATTGTGCCACCTGTCTTACATCTGAGCCAACTCAAGAGGCATACAGACCAGAGGTTAAGGGATTGGACCCTCGGTCCAGACTTCCTGGGTCTGAGTCCCCAGATTGGCTCCACCTGGTAGTTGAGGGTCCTTGGTCCTGTGTCTTCATCTGTGAAATGGGGATATGATGTGCCTCCCCTACCCCAGCTCACCGTGTGGATTGATGGCTTAGGGTGCACATAGGTCAATGCGTGCTGCAACAGCAGGTTTTCAACCGCGATATGATGATTAAGAAGTGAACAGAATCATACTTGCTGTCATCATGATCTATTCTTTAATTACAAACAGGGAGTTAAGCTACACAATCTGTCAGGTTTCCTCCACATCTGACATTTTGACTTGGATGCTGAGACCTTATCTGTGTTGTGTTGGTGGCTCACTTCGGAGTGACCTTGACATTGGGGCTGTCACCGTGTCCATTAGAGGGCACCGATGTACAGAGGAATGAGCTTGCACCACATCCTCCGAGCCGAGAGCAAGGTGCATTGGCCTCCCAGCTTTGTTATCCTGCCCAGGGACCAGGTAGACTGTGGGAAGGCGTCACTTGGGTCCTTTTCCTGCAGTCTAGCCACAGAGCAGCAAAGCCTGGGCCGGGGTTTGAGGGATTTCTAGGGTTGGGGTCACAAGACAAATGACAGCTGCCAGCCATAGCTCAGGTCAGGGAGGCGGCTGGCTGGACTAAGTTGATGAAACCCCTGATTTGCAAATATTTTTGTGTTTTAAATGGAAGAGATTCCACAAGCATGTCTTTGAAATGCTCTTTGGACATGTGTATTGATTCAGGATTCCTTGGCAACCTGGGAAATGTCCTCCAACTTCTAAAAGAAGCCAAAGCCTTGTGGGGGAATTTGGTTTCGAACACCAGCTGGATTTCACAAGTGTCTGCCACTTTTTCTTTTTTTAAGTGCTTGGCATTTGTACACCTTCTTTGAATTATTTTCATGTTTGTTGGAAATATATCTTCACCTGGTATTTACAATTCTGTCTAAAAGAACCACTAATAAAAGAAAAATTGTAACCCTGAGTTGGTTGGTTATGCTTCCTGACTTTTCTTAGGCTTAAAAAACAAATTTTTATATTTTTAAAATTCTGTATTTTGCTTCCTCAGCCCTTTCTACCAAATAATGTTTACCTTTTACTTTTTGAAATTGTGCCTTTATTTCAAATCTGTATTGAGTTACCAGTAATCAGGTTGCTGCTTACTAGTGGCTCAAATTTTCTTTCTTTTTTTTCTTTAATTTTTTTAACATTTGAGAGAGACAGAGTGTGGGGGAGGGGCAGAGAGCGAGGGAGTCACAGAATCTGAAGCAGGTTCCAGGCTCCAAGCTGTCAGCACAGAGCCCGATGCAGGGCTCAAACTCACCAACCGTGAGATCATGACCTGAGCCGAAGTCGGATGCTTAACCGACAGAGCCACCCAGACACCCCTCAGATTTTCTTTTAACAGTAAAGGTGAAGAATATAAGGAATATACTGTAGCTAAAAAGAAAACTCTCTTAGCCCTTCATACAGATCTGATAGGCAGATTGGCTATAGCATAGGTATTACATTTCTTTGAGTTCTTTTCAAGCTTAAAATATTTGATCCTTGTCTTCTGCGTGGTTTTGTCTTCCTGCCCGGAGGCATATTCCATCCTTGGAGGCTAAAATGTCTTGAAGTTGTCAGTGGACATTTCTTGGGAGTGGGTCTGTGTTTGATAATATATATTAAGAGACTCATGTAAACAACTCAGCGGCTTATGTCATCCTTGAAGTCAGGCGTGAATGTGGCACTACTTACTAATGGTAGTACTAACGTGTGTTTTCTCTCTTTTGTCTCAAGAAAGGAAAATAATGTGCTAAGCGCACTAATTAAAAAACAATGGATAGGGGCACTTGGCTGACTCAGTCGGTAGAGCGTTTGACTCTTGATCTCCTGGTTGTGAGTCTGAGCCCCATGTGGTTTAAGGGTGCGGATGTCATGCGTGCTGTGTGTTCACCACGTTGGTACTGGTGTGCTTAACGGAGATCTCGCTGAATACTCACAACTCCCCATTATTATCAGCACTGAGCACTGGGGAAGCTTCTTGTCCAGAAACGATAGAGAACTTGCCCAACAACACACAGCTAGACCCCAGGTGTGCAGCCGGGGCTAGAAATGAAGGGTAGAATCGAGAGCTTTCAGGAGGACTGGGAGTGAGGTAACAGAGTACATGTAGATCCATTAAGAATTGCTCTGATAGTGTGACCCCAGGTGGCTAGCAGATTGGTGGTATTGATGAAAGAGCTCAGAAATGAGCTGTAGTAATAAAGTAAATGTGTAGCTTTAGCACTTGCTGGAAGGCTTGGCCTCTGTGCCTCGCCCCACCTCCTCCACGTACATACACGTCTGCTCATCTTATAGGGTACGTAAGAGGGCCGCCGGCGAGTTATTCAGGTTTGCAAGCTATTTTATGTTCACGTGCTACTAACTTTGCTAAACTCTATGCAGAAAGGGCCCTCAGTCAGACCCTTGGCTTCTGACGGTCACAGGTTTGGAGCAATGGATAATAGGTCCAGTTGTCCCTGCACAACTGGCCCTTACCAGCTGCCTCTTTTTTTTTTTTTTTTTAAGAGATCTGTCTGCACAGCTGATCTCTAGTGCAGGTAGCAAAGGGCAAGGGACCCTTTTCATAGCAATGAAGCCCAAGTTAAGGCCCCTTTTATTTTGCCATTAGTGCCATGACTAGTCTGCTTCTAGGTTTTCCTCCAGACCACTGTTCTGGCGGTACATTTCCCAGTTGGTTCTTCAGTCACAGATAGTTTTGATCCATATTCTTGGTTACCATAGTTACTAAATGTGAAGTATGGGGAGTGGCCTTCAGCAGTACGTTAACAAATGTATTCAAATATTTGAATATCTTGTATCTAAAGTTTTAGTTTTTAGTGAAAGATGTCACTGACCTATTTTTTGCTAATTATCTTTTCTCCATCAGAAAGAGGTGAAGCAGGGGCGGGCGCCTGGGTGGCTCAGTCGGTTAAGCCTCCAACTCTTGATTTTGGTTCAGGTCATGATCTCACGGTTTGTGAGCTTGAGCCCCGTGTTGAGCTCTGCTCTGACAAATGTGGAGCCTGCTTGAGATTCTTTCCCTCTCCCTTCCGCCCCGTCCCCCCAAATAAATAAATAAACTAAAAAAATGAGGCAAAGTGTACATTTGATGGTAGTGTTAGTATTTTTTTAGATTTTTTTTTTTTTTAGATATTGTCAGGTTTCTTTGTGGTTTTTCAAGTATAGGAACCAATGAACTATGCTCTAGGCCGACTCTGAACTTGAAGACATCATGTCACACTGCCTACCTTGTACTCCCTTTCTTTATATAGTGGATGTCAACTTGCAAGAACTTTTAAGTAATTAAATTCATGGAGTGTTTAGCTTTCCCAACAGCTTAGTAGTTTACAGAATAAATTATCCTCAAAGACGGGGACAGAGGCATTTAAGTGTTTTGTTTTCTTAGGTTTTACTTCTGTGTTTTCAGGGTTCTAAAGAAGAGACAGAAAAACATTAACTCTGTAGTTAAACTTGAATTGCCTGAGTTGTGAAGCTTTGAGCCTTGTAAAAATGTTAAGCTAAACTGGTTGTCTGTGGCTTGATAACCACTATCTTATCTAAAACCTACTCAGTTTTGGAGGCTCTGTCATGCATAAAATGAGGTGAGATTTAATCATTATGGCACGTAATGTTTATACAGAGACAGACTTAACGGTTTTACAGTAAGAGCTGTTGAAAATCATGGTGGGAAAACTGATCAGATGTGTTAGTGTCCAACTGCTTCTAGTTTTTTCCCTCTCCTTTGCGTCTTGTTATAGTTTTGACAACAGAGTGTATCTTCAGTGGATAGTCCTAACTATTAAACAGGGCAGAACATTGTTTTTATGGCACATGTACCTGTCTTTTATTGTAGGTGCTGGACTGGATTGAGAATCATGGAGAAGCGTTTCTCAGCAAACATACGGGTGTGGGGAAATCACTTCATCGGGCCAGAGCTTTGCAGAAACGCCATGAAGATTTTGAAGAAGTAGCCCAGGTAAAACAATGGCTTTTATTAGTTCCTCCCCTAAATACCTATGAGCTCGGTTTTGAATTAGTTTTAACCATATCCAAGATAAGTTAGCCTTGGCTAGATATGTTGAAAGGTAATTCAGAAGAGGTGATGCTCAGATCTGAGCGTGAGGTTGTCCTTGCCTATGCAGAAGGATGTATCGTAAGTGACGTCCCGGATGTTTTTGACGTATTCATTGTACCAGTGTCTATTGACAGCTTGTGAAATTTCAGTGTATAATCAGGCAGTAACAGTTCTGTAACGATGGGCCAGCATTTCTTGCTGCTTATCCACTTCTTTTCAATGTGTGTGTTTAGAAACAGGCGGCAGGGTGTGGAGTGTGTTTAGAGCAGGGGATTTGTGGAGTTGGAGCATTGGTTATAATGCTCACTAGCTGTGTCACTTGGAAAAATCTCTTTACATTTCTAAGATTAACTTCCTTATCTGGAAAGTAGGCACAGTAAAGGCTTCTAGAGAGGAAGTCAGGTATGTATGTGGTAGCATCATATAAAGCACCTAGGCCAGGGCACTCCTACGACTTGTTACTTGGTAAATGTGTTTTTTTGGATTTTTTTTTTTTTTTTTTTTTTGCAAGCAGAGTGAAGGAGGGAGAAATTGCAATAACATGACGTGTGTGTATGTCTGTTCCATATTAAATGGAAGTTATAAGGAGGTGTGGGGAAAGTTACTTTAAAAAGAAGTCGTCTAGTAAGACACGTCCAAACCGAAGCACGTTGTGGCAAAACTGAGGAACATCGAAGACAAAGTGTAAAATCAAGAAGAGAGAAATGACCAAAGAACCCCACTGAGAAGGGCTATTAGAAAGACAGCCGACTTCTCACCAGCAACCACAGGTTCTGGAAGTTGGTAGAATAGTCTGGAATTCCAGATCCAGCTGAACTGTCATTCAATGATGAGGATAAAGTGTAGACCAAGAGTGAGAGAGTTTGCTACTCCAATACTTAACCAGAAGAACTAAAGCATGCAGTTTAGTATTAGTAACACAAGTACCCACTGTAACACGGACACCGCGAGAACAGGGACTTTGTTTTGTTCACTTCTCTATGACTGCAACCCAGGGCAGTGCCTGGCATACTTAGGTGATCAGCAGATAGGTACTGAATGAGTTAGTTAAATGAATAAAAAGGGAAGTATGAAAAGAAAGGACTAGGATCAAGAATGAGCATAGAAATTGGTAAATGTATTTGTAAATCAAAGGATTGACCATGTAGACAGCAGATAGTGGGTTTGGGGATTGTCAAAAGCAGAACAGGACTGATGTGTCAGAACACTCTAACATGGGAGATGGAAGGTTCCGAGGGTGGCAGGACCTTCTGCTTACCTGACACTTGTAAACTCAAGTGTGCAGTAGCCACTGACAGCATAGGGATGGAAAGCATCACTTCCTAGTAAGTGTAGGAGGGAAGGAAATACAGAAAACTGGCTGAAAAAAAAGAAAAATTCACGCATGTGGGTCTGGTGGAAACAAAAGAAACAAGGAAAACAAAAATCACGATCGAAATCGCAAAATAAGATGTAGTAACTTGTTCATAAGTATCGGTAATTACAGTAAACGCAAAATAGATTTTACCATTTTACTTTTGTTAAGAGACAAAAGATTGATTATCTCTTAAAAATCTTGCTGTATGTTTTTTTCAGAGGGCACACCTAATGCATAAATACCCAGGAAATTTGGAAGTATATAACCTGTTAGAGAAAGGTCCGCCAGGCAAATATTAAGCAAAATAAAACTGATTTAGGGATATTAATATTATGCAAATAGGCTGGAAAGCCTGAAAACATTATTAGAAAGGAAGAGATTCTTCCCTTATAGAAGGAAAAGTGTCAGTATACGTCCAGCAGCATGGTCTCTTCTGTAAGTCACAGTAGGAGTAAACTGTGGCCGTGTGTCCACAGGTTTTGCACGACAGAGGGTTCGGGTCCATACTCATTTGGGAAACTGAATCTGGGACTGAGTTACGGGATAACAAAACAGTCTGCACTTACGTCTTGTTCAGTGGAAATGCCTTTAACAAGTTGCCTTCTTTACACATCCTCACGTAGGAAATAAAAGTGCCAATCCCAACATTTCTGCTTTCCTCATCTCAAGAAATGAGCCAGAGGAGATTGTGTGTCCAGCAGCCTTGCCAAACCAAGAGGCACCTTTGGAGCGTTTTTCTTGTCTGTTTGTGGCGTCCCTACCTCATGCCTGTTGGAAAATATTTCGCCTTTGTCTTACAGCAGAAGAAATGTGGAAAATGTGCTTTTATCTCCCCTTCGAGTTTTCTGTGAGATAAGCTACTGCCATGGCCGACGTGGTTTGGGGATGGGTAGGAAGGTTGTGTCATATGAGCGGAGACTTGGGGCCCCAAAGAAAGTTGGGAGGCAGAACTGCCAACAGCCAGGCTCTGGAGATGGGGAACCCCCCCCAACCCCCAAATAGTATGGTCACCCGTGATGGTAGGCTGGGCTGTCCCGAGCTTGCTCTGACGAGGACAATGGTCCACCAAATGTTCCCGTGCGACCGGCACCCCATCAACCCTTCTCCCTCCAGTTCCTGTGCCGCCTTCCATTCTAAATTACACAAGTCTCTTGTGTGGCTGACGTTACCCTACTTCTCACGGTAAACTCATTTCCTTGGGTCTAAGGTCACCACCAGAGCTGTGAACACAGGTTCTCAGGGGGCAGCAAGAGTGAGCAGACTTCCTTTGTAGAGAACGTTTCTGCCCAAAGGTTTCTAGGGCAGGCCAAGGGCTAAAGTAGCACCTTAGCTGTGGTCTGCTTTTTACTCCTCAGAGAGAGGCTCCTGCCTCTACCCAGCTGAGTCCCAGCCCTTCCTTATCACTGCTCATTGTCCCTGGGACTCTAAGGGGCACCCTACTCACTCCCCCTTACACTGAAAGTGCTTAACAACCCCAGATCTGAGCTGTGCTTCAAAAGAAACCTTAAATATACTTCTGTTCACTTTGCAAACATCTGCACCCACTCTCCCTCCCTCTGGAGGGCTACTGGCCATGCGTCAGGCACTCTGACAGCCACAGGGTGTGGGGGACAGAGGGTGGGTAGCAGCAGGCCAGAGCAGGTGCTTCTGAATAGGCATGGCCACCTGTCAGAGGCCTTTCCCTGGCAGTTGTTGATGTCTAAGCAGACACCTGCAGTTTGTAAAATTCAGCTTGGTGACAGAAGGAGAAGATACTAGAAGCAGTCATGGGGGACATCAGGTAGGTAGGACTATTGAGCAGCACCACCATGTGGCCAGCAAGGTTGGAGGCTGGGCTGGGGCTTGGGGAGCCGTGTGCAGACTGCTGACCTCTTCCGTCTGTGGGCCTCTCTCTCTTGCCCACCTGCCGCTGGGTGCAGGCTCTGAGCTCCACCCTGAACATGGCCACGTCCCCGTGTGTCTGCTCTCTACTGTCTCCACCCACTGCCATTACATGGGCCCTTCAATTACGACCTCTTTTCCTGGCATCTCCAACTTCTCCCTCTTTTAGTTCTTTCTGGCCCTAAATATTTATAGGCCCTCCCCTCTCTTGAAGAACATCACTTGATTCTTCTGTATTTTTTAGTTACCAGGTGGCTTTAGAAGTGTGTTGTGCCACTTTGCTGTGCCTGCTTGTCTCCCGCGGCCTCCTGCAGCCCAGCCCTACCTGTCCCTGATAAAACTGCACGCACGGCCGTGCTGCGGGCATTCAGCAGGCTGTCGTGGTTGACCGGGAACTGGGACCCAACCACTTATGTAATTCCCCTCCACTCGCTTTAGAGGGAGAGCTCTGGTCTGTCGTGTCCACAAATGTGTGGCAACTTCTCGTTCTGTGACAGGCTCTAGGGAGATGGTAGTGGAGGTCGAGGGTCCGGGGCTTGGCAGCCATGTACATAGAGACATGATAAATTTCAGAGGAAACCCCTCGAACCATTTCAGAGTAGCTCTAAAAGTAGTTTGCTCTGCCTCTGAGTACACCATCAGGCCATGTAGGTAGAGGGACGGCCCCGTGTGATTAAGAACTGGCCACAAATAAAATGGGGGGGGGGTGCATAAGATCTGGAGATATAGGGTGGACTTCTTTTTCTGGTCCCTGCACCGTGGTTAATAAAGATTGCTTTTTACTAGTATTTGAAGCCAGAAGACCTCTTGGCTGCGAGACAGCTCCATAAGGAGCCTGGCTTTGTTAAGACCGTGTGCAGTGGATTTGGTCTGGACACACACAGACGGTGGCCTTGGTATCGAGGCAGAACTACACGTTGTGTGTGTAGCTTCATTCATTGAGGCTTTCTGGCTCTTCCCAAGGAACTACCTCCTCGGTCTTGCTGCAGCACTGGGAGTGAGGCCCCTGGAGGGAGCTCTACCACCTTTTCTTCTCTGCCCTCCCCTCTTTGACAGATTTCTGTCCAAACAAATTACAACAGAAGCGATTACGGCAGAGACCTAAGTTTATATTTATATTTTTATTTATATTTATATTTTTATATTTGTGTATTTTGGGGGCAGGATGGCCTTTGGAGGCACCTTAAATATGGGAGCAGAGGTATTGTTAGTGCTTAACAAGGGGCCATGTTTCACTTTCTGGAACATTTTCACAAAAGTAAAACCATTCGGGGAGGTTTAAGGAGAAGAGACTTCCTTTTTGCACTTGCTCTGTACTTGCTCAAGGTTGACTACGTTGTTCTTAGGGTTGTGTTTTGAAGGGTCCTTTGTGGGATGAATTCTAAATGGTCTTTAGAGCTCTAGAATTAGCAATTTATGTACTACACTTTTCGTACAGTCAACTTCTTCAAAACACTGACTTGAGGCATACGATGAAGTAACGTAACCAGACCCGAAAAGGAAGTGGTGAAAGTCGTACGGTTGAATTCATTTAAAACATACTAAACATAGATTTATTATGGAGAACAATTCTGGCGTTCCGGGAAGGAGGAACCCGAGAGGAGGGTCGGATTAGCTTGGTGGAAACGGGTTGCACAGCCTGGCACAGCGTCTGCAGGCACCA